ATTCTAATAAAAATTAAGTCAAATTCAATGATAATTGAAAATTTTCTTAAATAATCGAATTTTTTTTTAACATAATTGAAATTTTCATAAAAAAATTGAACTTTTATAATTAAATAATTGAATTTTTGAAAATTATTTCAATATTGATTTCTATTTTTTTTAATGTCCATTATTTATATTCATCTATATTTTTCTATCTAGTTATTTTCACTTATTTTAATTCTTTAATTTTTATTTATTTTCGATTTTTGTTCTTTTCATTTGTTTTTATTTACATTTAATATTTTTTTTTCGTTAAGGGCATTGAAACACTATGACGTCACAATTTGTACAAAGCATATGTTCTAAAACTTTGGACGTCATAATGATTTAAATGCCCTTAATTTTTATTTTTATTTATTTCCAATATTTCCATTTTTGTCTTTTAAATTTTCATTTCTATTTGATTTTCCATAAAATCTAATATTTACGTAAATTAAGAATTATTTCCAGTTACAAAAATATTGCCTTTCATTTCCCTTTTTTCTATTTTTAGAAACTTTGCTTTTATTTAGAAACATTTTTCCCCGACATCAAGTCTAATATATTATTATTATTATAAATATAAATTATAAATCACTATAAATGATTGAATTTAAAATGAAAAAAACGATTAACATACAAATTTCCTCTAATAATCGACAACTTAGCGAAAGTGGAGGTGTTAAAAGTGTAAAAGTGGGGGGGAAATAAATGTAAATTTCTTGTAGATATTTTCGTGTGGCCTTAATATCCGTTTAATAGTTGTCTCTATAAGAAAACAGGAAGTTGCATTGATCAATTTTTATCTTTACCTCTCTGCTTTCAACTTCCTTCATTCATTTTTCGAGAAAGCTTATTGGTCGTATATATTATAAAACGTTGGCGTGTTTGTATATACATATATATAAGACAGCCAACATATATGTCCATTCACGGATCGATAGGTGGTTTTCTGGATGACACGTTTTCCACCCAGACTATACGCGGCCCACGTCTTCTCACTCCTACAAACTTGGCGAATTATTATATGGGACAAATCATAATTTATCGAGAAAAATAAAAATTTATTCGAGGATATTTATTTTTGTATTATGCATATGGCTTTGTATTTTCCTATTTTTACTTAACTCTTGTTTTTTACTGTTACTTAATTTAAAATTTTAGAAAATTTAATTATTTATTAAGTTGTTCAATTCAAAGGGAAGCAAAATTTTAACTTTTTTGTATTTTTATCTCCTTATAAATTCCTCTATCTTAATAGAGAGTTATTCGTACGAAAAGGTGGAAGCGTTAGGCGGATAGAAAGAGAGAGGTAGTGAACGTAACGTCCCCCCTGACGTATGCGCAGAGTTGCCAGAAGCAACTGCGCTTGCGCCACTATTTTCCACCAATGAGAGTGTCACAGTGGCGCAAGCGCAGTTGCTTCGCGTGAAGGTCGCGCATCATCGCGCGTGCGTCAAGAGACAAAGACAAAAGAGGGGACGTTAAATCCACTAGCTGTCTTTTTCTACAAAATTGATGCGCTTGCAGAACTCACGCGTCTTATTATCAATTAATTTTCTCCGCGAAATAATTCTTATTATCAATTAATTTTTTTCCGTGAAATAATTCTTATTATCAATTAATTTTCTCCCTGAAACATTTCTTATTATCAATTAATTTTCTCTGCGAAATAATTCTTATTATCAATTAATTTTCTCCGTGAAATAATTCTTATTATCAAATAAATTTTCATCATTAAATAATTTTTACTATCAAATAAATTCTCATTCGTGAAATAATTCTTATTATATCAAAATAATAATTTGTTGAGCTAAAAATAAATTTTCCTTTCAAAGAATTAAAGAATTTCTATTGTATGTATATTTAAATTCTAAATATATATTTTTCTTTATAAAGCAAAAATGTAGATTACTATCGATCAGTTTAAAAGTCAAATGTGTGTATGTATCATATCTGCGATCCTCAATTAAATAATTTCTTCGGTTTTAATGACTTTATCGTATCCACAAAAGGCGTTCGCTAATTTCCGTAATAATTTATTCCTGGAAATGTTAATTGGTTGATATTCAAGAAACGAGGACACGCTTCTCCTTGTCCGGCGCAAAGCAAGTAAAATCAGTAATGAGATTAACTATTGTTTCTCTTCTACTCTATTTTTCTGTATAATTTATAATTTTGAATCAACGGAAAGCAAATGGAAAAGTTCAATAAATAGAAAATGAAATAGAAATAAAAAAAAGTTATAATAAAGTCAAAAAATAAAAGTGAAATAAAAATAGAAAAGTTAAATAATATAAATAAAATAGGTATAAAAGTTTAAATAATAAAAATAAAAAAAAAATATAAATATTATTAAATACAAAAATAGAATAGTAAAAATAAAGTAAAAAATAAAAGTGAAATGATAGAAATAAAATAGAAAAATGAAATAATAGAAGTAAAATAAAATATAAAAGTTTAAATAATAGAAATGAAAGAAAATAAAAAAGTTAAAAAAAAATAAAAATTTATTCAAATACAAAAATAGAATAGTAAAAATAAAGTACAAAATAAAAGTAATATAAATAGAAATAAAATAAAATAGAAAACTTAAATAATAAAAGTAAAATAAAATGCAAAAGTTGAATAGGAAAAAGTAAAATAAAATTTGGATAATAAAAATAAATGGAATTACAAGAGTGGAGTAATAAAAATGAAATATAAAAATAAATAATGAATATAAAATATAAAAGTGAAATAAATATAAATAAATATAAAAGTAAAATAATAGAAATGAGATAAAATAGAAAAGTTAAAAAAATAAAATAAAACATAAAAATGTAAATAATAAATAATAAAAGTTGAGTAATAAAAATAAAATGGAGACAAAAGAGGAAATCTATGAGTGTAATGAAGAAGAAGAAGAGAACATGAATGAACTCCAGGAAACTAAAGTGGAAGTGTGTATATATAATATATGTACATGGACTTTTAAACACGCGTGTTGGTTTTATGATGTAAGAATCGATACAGTGCGAGAGAAAACACGTGACATGACTCGATTGTTAGGAAGCGCACTCGGGACAATATAATTACATAATATACTCATAAAGTGATTTCTAAAGATGGAAATAATAGATTTTATGTATTTCAATCAATATAGAAATTAATAGGTTTTCATTAATGGCCTATGTAATCGCCGCAATGTAAATATGTATTTTATTTTCATACAATCATTGGATTTAATTTCGCATTTACAAAAATATATTTTCAATTTAATTTTCTTTCAAGTATAGGCAATTTAAATTTTTTTAAATAATAATTTAACTTTTCTGAAATTATATAGAAAACGATTTAATTTTTTTCACAAATTTTATTTTTAAAAGTAGTCGAGGATAGTTTTGAAATATTAATTTTTTTGAATTTTTTATTATTTTCTATAAATGAAGTTTTTGATTTTAAATAATTGAATTTTTATAAACAAAGAAAAAATATAAAGAAGATTCAAAATTTTTTAAATAATTGAAATTTACTAAAATTTTACAGAAAATAATTGAATATTTAGAAGAATTTTATATTCAAATTCTTGAAAATTGTCTCAAAAGAAGTTTGATAATTTATTTTTTAAAAATATTTTAGTTGTATTTCTTCAAAAAATAATTGAAAATTTTTAAAATAATTGAAATTTTTATAAAATTCGAATGATTTTATTGAATTGAATTGAATTTTTAATAGAATTTTAGCGAAACTTTAGAGAAAGTAATGGACGAAAGTTCGTTATATTAATTTTACAAAATATTTCAATTACATTTTTGGAAAGTATTTGAAAATTTTTAGAAGAATTGAAATTCAAGAAATTCTATAGAATATAATTGAATTTTTAAAAGTAATTTATTGTAGTTTTTTTAAAATTTGAATAAATTTTTATCATAACAAGTAATTAAAATTATTCGAAATAATTGAATTTTTCGAAAATTCTATGGAAAATAATTCAATTTTTAAATATTTCTGTTTTATTTTTTGGAAAATAATTGAAATTTTTGAAAATTCTATGAAAAATAATTGAATTTCTTTAAAAATCTTAAATTAAAATTCTCTGAAAATAATCGAGGCAAGTTCAACACAATTTTTGTTAAATTTTTCATTTCTATTATTTAAAAATAATTGAATTTTTAAAATTAAATAATTGCAATTCTTTTAAATTAATTGAATTTTTAAATATTTCTGTTGTATTTTTGAAAAAATAATTGAAATTTTCTAAAATTCTATGAAAAATAATTGAATTTTTATAATTAAATAATTGAAATACTTTAAAAATAATTGAATTTTTGTCATTAAATAATTGATATTCTTTGAATCTTTTGAGGAATCTTATTAAAATTTCTTGAAAACAATCGAGGCAAGTTCGACATAATTTTTTTGAAAATTTCAATTTTATTATTTGACAATAATTGAATTTTGATTAATAAGTAATTGAAATTCGTTGTAAATAATTGAAATATTCTAAAATTCTGTCAAAAATAATTGAACTTTTTAAAGAAATTTATTGAAATTCTTTTAAAAATAATCGATCAAAGTTCAACATATTAATTTTTTAAAAGGTAATTGAATTTTTAAAAATTTGTAATTGAAACTTTTCTAAAATTCAATTATTAATTTCAATTAATAATTCAATTAATTTTTTTTTTAAATTTCAATTACATATTTTTAAAATTTCAATTACCTTTTAAAAAAAAAGAAAATTGTTTAAATAATTGAAATTTCCTAAAATTCTATGAAAGAATAATGGAAAATAAAATAGACAAAATAATTGATTTTTTAAAGTACTTTTTGAAGTTATTGAAACTTATTGAGGGAAGTTAGAGAAAATAATTAAATAATAATAAAAATATTAATATTAATAAATATTAAATAATTTATAATTAATCAAAATAATAAAAAAATAATAATTTTTCCACAGTAAATAATAACAGTCTTCTTTAATTTTTCTGTTGCAGATAAGCAGACAAAGTATAGATGCCTGTAAAGATTACTTTAGAGAAGATCTCGTCAAGACTGATTGGCAATTGATGGTGGAACTGAAGAAACTCTTCCAGATTCTCTAAAAAAAAGACTTGAGAAATTAGAGAACTAGAAAATGTGACATATTTTAATGTGTCTCTTTTAGCTGAACTATCAAAGAAGAAAAAAAGAAAAATTTTGGATGAATCGATAAAATAGTAAGATCGGTGCTTAATTATTCATATACATATAAACAATTTCTCCATCAAATTCATTTCTCAAAAAATTAAAAATATGCAAATTCAAAATGCATGTGAAAATCGAAAATCAAATGCCAACAATTCGCGATTGACATTTAAACTTTTGTGCTTCTTTTTTTTAAATAATTATTTCCCCATTTATTTCGGCTTTTGACTTAATACTCGACGAACCAATTTTTTCACCAATCGTTTTTTTCAATTATTTTTCAATTACTTATCAGGTATTTTTCAATTATTTTTCAATTATTTGTCAATTATTTTGCAATTATTTTTCAATTAGTTGTCAATTATTTTGCAATTATTTTTCAATTAGTTATCAATTAGTTATCAATTATTTTTCAATTACTTTTTCAATTAGTTATCAATCATTTTTTCAATTATTTTTCAATTAGTTATCAATAATTTTTCAATTATTTTTCAATTAGTTATCAATTATTTTGCTATTATTTTTCAATTATTTTACAATTTTTAGAAAAAAAATTTGCAAGAAGAAAAAACAAAATTTTTTTTTTTAAATTATAACTTATTTTTTTTTTTTTTTTTTTTTGATAAATATGAAATGAAAATTTAGAATTTTTGCAAGGACTTTAATTGAAACGAGAATTCTCTGGAAATATTTTTTTTCGACATTTTTCTTGAGCGCAAAAAGCTGCATCGAAGCAAAAATTAAAATAAATAATAATAGTGATAATTTTAGATGAATGTAAAAAAAGAGGAATTTTCGATTTAAAATTTTTAATTTTCAAAGTAAATTTGCAGTGATTGCGAAATTTTTTTTTTTTTTTTTGCAATTTTCCAGAGAAACAGCGAGAGTACTAGGTATCGTAGGTAGATAGGATAGATTAGATAGGTGTAACATATTAAAAAGGGGATGTAAACGACGACGATCACAATTAAAAAATTTGCCACATTTTTTTGTCGCAAATTCTTGTACTTGAAATCAACGATATTTGATATTAAATTACGTTTTGCACATGTAAACAAAAAAGCGCCTAGAACTCTCAATTGCTGATAATAAAAAAATGAGAGTTTAAAAAAAAAATTCTCTGACAATGATAAAACTGTCATTTTTGATTCGAGTCAATTCGAGAATTAATTTGCCAAAATTTTTTTCAATCAAAAAAATATATTTTTACATAACTTTGATTACAATTTTTCTATTTCAAATATTTTTGGCGCTGTTTTTTTTAATTTAAAAAAAAATACAATAACGGAAATAAAACAAAAAAAAATAATTGAATATTTATTAATTTAAAGAAAAACAGATGCAATGACAATGATTATATAAAAAAGAAAAAATGATATTAAATTATAAATATTATAGAGGTACGCAAGGCAAACTGTGAACTATTATGTGTTTTGTATACTTGTAAGCAAACTTTATAAAAAAAAAAAAAACAGTGTAAAAGTTGGGCTTATAGCTCATATTATATTCGAATTTTCGAAAAAAGAAAATAAAAATTTCAAACAACGCAAGCTGGAAGATTTTTTATTTTAAAAAAGAGAACACAGAATCAAAATCTCAAAGCCGGAAATCTTCCGCTTCCGTCGTATTTATAAGCGCAATATTATAATTTTTTTTTAATCTTCTTTACTGAGAGGCTAAAAATTTCTCACGGGGGTTGAAAATAAAAAAAAAAATTGTCGCTTAAGAAGAAAAAATCGGCCAACAAACACACATGTATTCGAGGAAAAACTTTTTAATGCTTATTCATAATCTTTGAGAAAAAAAAATGCCCAAGAGGGTGACACAAAATCCCTTGTACATATATGCGACCACATAGTGAATTCATTCATGAAAATCACCGCTTTTCCGGTATGGTATCCGCCGACGACGATGAGGACTTTTTAAGAGAAAAGTCGTAAAAGTTTTTATAGTCATCTCTTAAAAACCAATATTTCCTGCGGATATGCTGCACGTATATTATTTAAATTTCTTTTTTTTTAATTATAGAAAATTCTCTCGCCAGACGGAAATCATTTTTTATGTATTGAAATTTTTAGTGAAAAAAAAATGAAAATTTTTAATGAAAAAAAAAAGAAATTGAAAATAATCTGAAAAAAAATTAATGTTAAATTAATTATCCAAAATTCTCTCTCCAGACGGAAATCATTTTTTATGTATTGAAATTTTTAGCGAAAAAAAAAGATTTTTAGTAATAAAAAAGAAAATTTTTAGTGGAAAAAAAAATTTTTTAGTCATAAAAAAGAAAATTTTTTAGTAAAAAAAAAGAAATAAAAAATAATCTGAAAAAATTAAAGTACATTAAAGTTATCAGTTTGTTTTCATTCTTATCGATTATCAAACGTTTGTCAACTCGCTTTTAAAGTTGAAAGAATGTGGAGAGATAAAAACTTGTGTCTCGCTATACACATCAAAAGTCATCACTTTTCCAGGAGAATGTTTTTTTCCCTCTCAGGTAAGTTTTTTTATTTCTCGACGAGAAAATTTTATTTAATTTTGAAAAAAAGGGGAAATTTTGATTTTTAAATCTGTTTTAATTTTTCTTCATCGAATGTTATAATATTTATAATAAAATTATACGCAGTTTCTTGTATATATAATAATTACAAAAAGAAAGACAAAAACAAAGCAAAAGAAGAAAAATAAATAAAAATTTTTACAATTAAATTATAATAATTGCAAAAACAATTTAGGTATATTTGTATTATTATTCATTTTTATTAATAATGTCCTGTAATTTATTTTTATTTAATTTATGTTATTATTTCATTTATAAATTTAAAATTATATTAATTTCTAGTTAAAAAACTTCTAATTTTACAGATTTACTACTAATTTTTTAGTAAAAAATTACTAAATTTTAGTAAAAATGACTAATTTTTAGTAGAGAATTATTAATTTTACAGAATTATTTTTATTATTTAGTAAAGAAATAAACTACTAATTTTTAGTAGAAAACTACTAATTTTACAAAATTTCTTTTTAATTTGAGTAGAAAAAGCCTACTAATTTTACAGAAATACTACTAATTTTGGTAAAAAAAAATTATTCATTTTTATTAAAAATTACAAATTTTTATTAGACAACTACTAAATTAAATAAAAATGACTAATTCCTAGTAGGAAAACTAATAATTTTTGCAAAAATACTACTAACTTTTAGTATAAAAATACTAATTTTACATAATTACTACTAATTGTTAGAAGAAAATAATTAATTTTTTAGTAAAAATTAAAATTAAATTAAAAAATTTAGGTATAAGTAAATGTAAATAAAAATATTGTATAATGTAATTATTTATTTATTTAGTAAGTATTTGTATTTATTATATTTTTGATTCAATTACAACTATGCAATTTTTTTTAACAGTGTGAATGAACTTTATGTAATTTTTCCCTTCGAGTATGCCCCTCTATGTTCATAATTTTCAATGCTTTTGCATAATTTCAATTAAAATTCACTTATATTTTGCGCATTTTGCTGTTTTTATTCGGTAAGGATGAATATTAATTATATTTTTGTTAAATTTCGATTATTATAATTTTACGCAGTATTTTCTTTTGCAAAAGGAATATTTTGTGTATCGTAAAAAAAAGATATTTAAATAAATACCGATTTCGCGGTAAAAAAAAACCTGCTTTTTGGAAAATAGTATTGCGCATGCGCGAGCGCCACTTCCGCGTCACATGATTACTTGGATTTTGATATAGTTTTCCGTTGAGTTTATAATTTACTTTATATTTTTACATATTTAGTGTATATTTATCAATTTTGTGAATTATATAAGTTATAATTTTAATATTTAGTCATCAATATTACAGACATACTCATTTGTCTATTTCTCTTTATCATTTTATTCTCATTTTTCTTATTTGTGGAAAATCAGTTGAATTAGTTTGAAAAATACGTTTAAAATGTTAACATTGATCACGTGACCCACAACAAGTGTCATGGCGGACGGCAGTAGATTTGCGTCGCATCAACCACATGTTTGTAGTGTTTAATTTCCAAAAGTAGTGTTTAAATATCAATAAATCATATCGAAAATAGACGAGTAGTGCTTACAGGATTGTGTGAAATTATTTTATTGCTCTCGATTCACTCGATTGTTATAATACAATTCGTCAAAATACGAAACCTAACCTTACTTTTTTTGTCAGAAGAGGAATTCGCAACAATTCGGCCTGGTTAGTCTTTTGTGTCTTTTTCGTCGAACTAAAGGAATTCAAGTCTTAAATAAATTACAAAATTGAGAAAATTAGTAAATTTGTGTAATAAAGTTGCGACAAAATGGATTAAATTATTATTTCTGTCAGCAAAGCGTTGGCACAAGAGCGAAAGAGAATTGTTCACCTTTTCGAATCGATTGATTGTCAATTGTAAAATCTTCAAGTTCTCGTCTGGTTTCGGATACAAACGACATACGAAAGGTAAGAAATACTGTACAAAATTTAGTTTTATTATTATAATCAGTTGCGTTCTTAGCTTGTTTTTCGAATATTTCTTGTTTAATTTATTTTTCATTGGAATATTTTTCATTTGTTACGAATATTATTTTTTCGAATATTTTTCACTTGTTACGAATATTTTTTGTTCGCTACGAATATTTTTCTTTAGAATATTTTTTAATTGTTACGAATATTTTTCTTTAGAATATTTTTCAATTGTTATGAATATTATTGTTTCGAATATTTTTCTTTAAACAACAAAAAATCAACTTAACTCCAAACAGTGGAAATTCTTTATTTCGATCCAAAATTGCGAAAATTCGTACAAACTCATAAAATTAACAGAATTTTCCCCACAATACACACATTTTTTTTCAAATGAAAATTTATACAAAAGAGAAAAGTCGGCAGTTCAGTGATCTAAACGAGCTTCCGGCCATATAATATTGATGGTCGATCCTGTCCTTTTCGAGTCCTTCACTTTTTCCTTAGAGAAATATATGTCATGTCCTTGCTGAGAGCCAAGTGTCGAGACGGCACGCCAAACTCAATGAATATACACACGTCGTCGTTTCAAGTCATTCATATATTATATCCGCAGGTTGCCTCGTGTGCAAACACAAACACACATTCGACATTTACACTATAAACAATATTATATTAATGTTGCGTGTTTCGATACCAACGCATAACGTAAGTAAACGTGCGCGACTATACGCGCATTTACTCTCCAACAATTGCGCAATATTCATTGCTAAAGGGGCAATGAGAATCCCGTTTCTTGTATGCATATTATATATATTTTTTTATTTCTCGCGTTTTTGACTCAAGGCTCTTTTTATTAATTTCTCACTTTTGGGCCATTTATAAAGTACGTATGAGACATTTTAATTAATTTTACACAATTATTAGTTAAAAGTATGAAAAATTCAGATTTTTTAATTATTTTCAAAAGTTTTTAATAAACTTCTTGACATAAATTAAAAATAACAAAATTCTTTGCAGAACTTCAATTACTTTTGGAAATTTTAATGAAATTTTTCGCAAGAATTTAAATATTTTAGTTAAATAAAAATAATCTTTGCCATAATTCAATTATTTTCAAAAATCTTAATAAAATTTTTCGTAAGAATTCAATTATTTTCATAAATATCAAAACATTTGCAGAAATTCAAAAATTTTCAAAAGGTTTGGTAAAAATTTTTCGAAGGAATTCAATTATTTTTTTAATACAATTTAAAAAAAATTATCGATAAAATTTTATTTCAATTCCATGAAAGTATTAAAAATTTTTGAAAATAATTGAATTTTCGGATAGAATTTTAAAAAAATAATTGTTACTGTAAATTCTTCAAAATTATTTTCATCAACTCAATTCAATTATTATTTTCTATATAATTTGTATAACTAAAATTCATTTTTAAATAAATTTTTATTAGAAAATTCTACGAGAATTAAATTATTTAAATACAAAAATAAATAATTTGTTGAATATCTAATGGAATTCCTAAAAAGAATTTTATTATTTATGAAATCAATTAAATTATTGCGAAGAAATTTATAAAAAAAAATTGAAAATAATTGAATTTTCAAAATAAAGAATTTTATCGACAAATTTTTATACTCGTTTTTATATATATAATTGAATTCATTCGACGAATATTAATAAAAAAATGTTTCGAAAAATTCGATTAAATTTGAATTAAAAATAATTGAAATTCTGCGATAAGTTTTATTATTTATAAAAATAATCAAATTTTTAAAAAATATTTATTATTTATGAAAATAATTGAATCCCTATAAAAAATTGTATTGTTTATGAAAGTAATTGAATTTCGGAGAAAATTTTAATTATTTATAAAAATAATTGATATTTTGACGGAAATTTTAAAAAAAATTTGAACATAATTGAATTTTTGCGATGAATTTAAAGTAATTGAATTTCTGCAATCAGTTGTAACTTCTCCAAAATTCAATTTTTTAGAGTTTTTATCTAAAATTGAATTATTAAAATTTTAAACTCATAACCAATTTATTGAAACATTTAATGTTTTTTTTCAAATTGAATTATTACAAAGAATTTAATCAACAAATCTTTGAATAATTGAATTTTTTCCACGAATTTTAATAAAATTACTCAGAATAATGGCATTTTTCGAGGAATTTAATTAAAATTGTATTAAAAAATAATTGAATTCCTGTAAAATTTTTTTTCTTTATGAAAATAATTAATTGTTTGCGTAAAATTTTATTTGATTATTTTTTAAATAATTGAATTCTTTTGGATAATTTTATTAAAATAATAGATATTGAAAATCATTGAATTGAGGAAAATTTTTGAATGTAATTAAAATTTTGCAACAAATTTTATTAGAATTTTTGAAAATAATTGAATTTTGGAGAAGAATTTAATTATATTTATAAAGATAATTGAAATTTTGCAATGAATTTTATGGAAATTTTTGAAAATAATTGAATTTAGGAAAAGAATTTTATTTATTTAGAAAGATAATTGCAATTTTTTAACAATTTAATTTCTACGAAGGATTTTATTAATTTTTGAAAATAATTGAACTTTTGTGAAGAATTTTTGTTAGTTATAAAAATATATTAAAAATTTAAACTAATTTCAATTTTCAGAAGAATTTAAATTATTAAAATTTTTCCAAAATTATGCAAAATTTTAAAATTTGTAAAATAATTAAACTAAATATTAAAATTAACATAAATTGATAAAAATCGAACTGCGAAATTATAATCGCCCATGAAAAATATATACAGTTGAATGTTCTGAAAATAAGAAATATTTTTCAAATACAGAAAGTTATTTGAAAAATATTGATTTTATATTATTGTTTTCAGTATATAAGTATAGGTATTTTCTTCAGTAAGTGTAAAAATAAAATGCATGATTAATATTAATATATATTGTGTACAATAGGCAGCCAAGGTTGAATTCTTTATCTTGAAACATCGTTTTCTTTCATTGTTGATAAAATTTTTTTTCTTTTTGTATTGACTCTTTTTTTTATTTCATTCATTTAGTCGCATGTATTTTTTTTCTTCAATCAATTGTGTTTATTTTTTTACATTATTTTACATTCCTTTTTTTTACTTTTGTATTTTTTTATTTACTTATTCTTTGTTTCACTTTTTAATTTATTTTTTAAATTATGTAAAGAATATTTAATTTATTCTTTAACACTTAATTATTCCTTAAATTATTTAAAGAATAAATTAATTTTTTAATACAAAATAATAATAATAATAATAAAATTTTAAAAAAATAGAAATAATGTTCAATACAGTGGAACGAAAGCGCGAAGCAAGACGACAACAACAGGAAATATTATTGTGGTCCATCGATTAAAGAACAATATTTTCCGTATGTCTATTACACAATATTATAAAATTTTTTTCTTTTTTTTTTCTTTTGCATTTTATTTTATTTCTATCGCATTTTATTTTTCCAATAATGTAAGTCATCCTTCCGTGAATGAGGAAGCAAACGCCTCTTTTCATTCGAGGAAAGGATGATGATTTCGATAGAACGTCGTCTGATGTTTCATGGGTCAAATACAGAGAAGTAGAAGAAAAAAAAGTGCCATATATATTGGGCTAGATCAATTTTTTTTCTCTTTCTTTCGAAAGTGAGCCTGTAATTCAATACTCGGGTGGAGACCTTGAGCGTCTTCCCACACAGGAGAGCGAGTATCACGTGCTAAGTATAGTTCTACATGCCGCCTTATTAGCTTAACTAATATATATAAATTTCTTACTATGACAATACTGTATTGTCACTGGGTGATGTGCATCGATTCTGCTCTGTGATTGATGCATCCCACGTAGCGTTCGGGCAAAATTGCTCGTTTTTATCACATTAAAAAAGAAAAAAAAAAAAAAAAAAAAAAAAAAAAATTGGGTTTCGCTGTAGAAAATTAATTCTTACTTTCAGCCCAGTTTTTGACTAACACCGGTTACATTAACAACATTTTTGACTGAATCCTAACCTTTAAGAGAATTATTTTAGTTTCATTACAATAAAAAAAGAAATTTTTTTTTTTTTGATGTAGAAATTCACTATTAGTAATTTTCACTAATTAATTAGTAAAAATTACCAAAATTCACTTAAAACTTTACAGTATAGGAAATTTTGTTAATTTTCTCGAAAAATTCTATAATTATTACTCGATTTACTTGTTCCATACGCGCGTTATAATTTAGACGAATGTGCATTATTTTTTGAATAGGTTTTAATTTTGTGCTCGCAACTTGAGCTGAGGAAAAATAATAAAAAAAAAAACACGCCCGTTACTTTTGTACGCGTAGGCAAATCTAGACCGCATCGCATTTAACGTCTACGCTCGACATTTTAATCGACAAAATACACTCTATAAGCATATTAGAATTTTACGACAGCCGACTGAAATCTGAGCATATGGTGAGCTTATTATCATTACGTAATAAATTCGAAAACGAGAAAGTCTTTTCGAAAAAGGAGAAAATAGAAAAATAGTATTTTAATACTTTCCCATGAATTGAAAAAATTTGTCAATGGAATCTAATTTTTCCTGAGTTACCTGAAGGTAGCGTCGAAAAGTACTATTTGGAGTTTTTAGAAGTGAAAACGGCATTAATTTGAGGTCTATTATTTCCCTAGGGAGTAAAAAAGTTTCCAGAGAATATTTTTAAAGTTAAAACCTTTGAAAAAAAGTGTTCTGTTAAAGAAAACAAATATTTGTCGACGCTTAGTGTCAATGTCAACTTTAGGGACGTTTTACTCCTTTATTAGAATTAACTAGAAAGAGAAGAAAAGAAAAGAAAACAAATGGGAAAATTGTAAAGAAGGAACGTGATTTTTACACGATTTATAAGAATTGCTGGTATGTGGGAATTAGTGCGTGCAAGCTGAACCAGAAGTTGTTGTGAAAAGTCGGAGTGCATATTCCATTCCCATCGAGACTTAAGTTTAGATTTTAGATTTACCGGAGAAGATCCATTTCACTCGTCTAGATTTAACGGAGTTTCAGGTCTGTATTTCTAACGTTCTTTGAGTATAAAAGAATCACTAGATTCGGTTTTTTCGTTTTCGAAATACGTTTATTTAAAAATACTTAAAAAATAGTGTTCTCTAAACACATGAATTAGTCCCAAACTATCTAATTAATGTTCCTGAAGTTGGCGTCGACAATTATTTTTTTCTCACGAAACCGATAAAAGTAAAACAACGTTTTCGTTGACACTTTTTTAAACGTAAAAACTTAAAATTGTTTTATTCTTTTCTTTTTTTTTTGAAGAAAAATGGGTTTTTGACACTAAGCGTCAACGCTAATTTTAGGGTTATGGATTGACGCTAACTTTAGAAACCTTAATGAACGTTAGTAAAGTAAGCGACGACGCTAATCGTTAACAAATACTTGTTTTACGAAACCGAAAAAAAAACAACACTTTCGTTGACGCTTAGCGTGGAAAACTTTTTTATTTGGTTTTTTTTAGAAATATCACAAATTTCGTTTCTTTTATTTACCATGTAAGTTAAAAATAAGTTCAGAGAACTTTTCTAAACCTAAAAACTTAAAATTCTTTTATTCCTTTCTTTTTTTGAGAAAAAAATGGGATTTTGACACTAAGCGTCGACGCTATAATTTCACGGTGATGGATCGACGCTAACTTTAGAGACCGTAATTAACGTTAGTGTCGTTAGCGTTGACACTAGTTGTCAACAAATACTTCTTTTACAAAACCGAAAAAAATAAATTAACGTTTTCGTTGACGCTTAACGTCGAAAATTATTATTTGGGGGTTTTTAGAGACGTCACTAATTTTGCTTCCTTTATTTACCTCAGAAGTTAAAAACAAACATCGAAGCTCTTTTCTAAACCTAATAATTGTTTTATTCTTTTAATTTTTTGCGAAAAAAAGGGTTTTTGAAACTAAGCGTCGACTCTAATTTGACGGCTATGGATCGACGCTAACTTTAGAGACCTTAAGAGAGGTCTCTAAAGTTGACATCGACGGTTAGCGTCGAAAGCTGCTTTTTGTTATTCTTAGAGAAGAAAATATCAGCTAAATTTGCTTCTTATTTCGTCACACTAAAAATTTCACCTCTTTTTTTACGTCCCTGAAGTTGGCGTCGAAGTTTAGCGTCAAAAAAGGATTTTTTGGCCCAAACGAAAAGAAAATAGTAATTTTTCTTAAATTTTAGGTTATAAAAGAACATTGAAAAATAATTTTGCTCTTCAGGTGAATAAAACAAGTTAAATTAGTGATATTTCTATCTCTAAAAACTCTTAATAATAGTTTTTACGGCTTAGCGTCGACGCTAACTTCAGGAACGTTTATTTCTTACCTAGAAAGGTAAAAAGTTTTTCTAAATAATAGTTTTAATTTCTAAGCGTCGACGCTTAATTGAGGGACATCATTCTTTCATCTATGAAGGTAAAAAATTTATCTAAATAATAGTTTTCAACGCTTAGCGTCGACTCTAAGCGTAAAAACATTCCCTATGAAAACTCTAAATAATAGATTTCAAAGCTTTGTTTTGACGCTAACTTCAGGGACGTCTCTCTTTTACCTGTAAACTTTAAAAAATTCTCTAAATAGTAGTTTTCAATGCTTAGCGTCGACGCTAACTTCAGGGGCGTATTTTTTTAGCTAGGAAGGTAAAAAACACTTGTCTAAATAATTGTTTTAAATTCTTAGCGTCGACGCTTAATTGAGGGACGTCTTTCTTTCATCTATGAAGGTAAAAAATATCTCTAAATAATAGTTTTTAATGCTTAGCGTCGACGCTAACTTCAGGGGCGAAATTTTTTCAGCTGGAAAGGTAAAAAAATTTGTCTAAATAGTAGTTTTAAATTCTTAGCGACGACCCTGACTTCAGGGACGTGTTTATTTCATCTATGAAGGTAAAGAATTTCTCTAAATAATAGTTTTTATTGCTTAGCGTCGACGCTAATTTCAGGGACGAATTCTTTCAGCTGAGAAGGTAAAATATTTGTCTAAATAATAGTTTTAAATTATTAGCGTTGACGCTAACTTTAGGGCCGTTTTTTTGTATATAAAGGTAAAAAATTTCTCTAAATATTAGTTTTCAAAGCTTAGCGTCGACGCTAATTTCAGGGACGTCTTTTTTTCACTCATGAAAGTAAAAATTTTGTCAAAACTACTTTTTGAACCTTAAACCACTGGGAAAATTTTGTCATTCTGTTCGGTTGTCGTAAAAGAAAATTTTTTAACGCTAAATTCAGGAAACTAGTGTTTCTTTTCGGTCACTAACAATAGGTATTGTTGTACATCCGGTAAAATTTAAAAATGTATTTAGCAAAAATATATCTCCGTAGTGCAGGCGAGAATTGAGGTATAGGTCGTGCTAAAATTTTTCGTTCCACCAAAAGCGGAACTACGCGAAAACGAGATAGAAAATTAACATCCGTTTTTTTGAAAGTATTTTCACACACACACAGACACAGGGCCCCGAATAAACAAGTTTCGTTCCTGGTCGCACAATACGAGCATGAATGAAGTATCACGTCTGGCCTGAGGGAATGGCGTCCAAGTGTGGGTGTAGTGGGGGTTCGGTCGTGCCGTCGTCTACCCTAGGTGCTGAAGTGTCGTGGGGCGAGGGGGGCGAAAACATCGAACGAGAAGTGCGCATGCGCAATGTACCCCACCCACAGAAACCATGGAACGAAGCAGCGACATCGAGGAGTTGAGTTGAGCGTAGCCGGCGGTCGAACGCTCAGAAACGTAGAGGGCAGGTCGCGGGTTGGAACTCTACATTGACTCGCAGGGAAACATTTTTTTTCCCTCGCGCCCGTTGTAATAAATTAACCTTTCAAAGTTTCTAGTTTTGTGTTTATATTTCGTGATCCTGATTTCATACTTTCGTATTTTCATACTTTAAGTGTTTTCATACTATCGCATTTTCATTCTATCGTATTTTCATACTTTCGTGTTTCTCCACTATTTCGTGATTTCATACTCTCGTGTTTCGTGAGCACTCTTTCGTTTTGTGTTTTAAGTTTTGAAAAAAAGGAAAAAGAAATCAAGTGAAAGGAAAAACTAGTGAAGTGAGAGAATGGATTAGTTTTTTTTTAAAGCTTTTGTGGAACTGTTTTGGTTCGAAAGGGTGGAGGGCGATATGAACCGGCGAAAGTAGAAAGGAATCGGGAGTGAAAGAGAGAAGAAGAGAGAGGGGGGTCGGAAAGTGGTGAATACGGCCCTGGATGAAGCACAGCGACATGGCCGCCGAGGCCAGCTGAACTTGTCTCGCGCGAGGTCTTAGGCTTACCTCTTTTTTGTTCAAATTACTAGCGGAGAGAATTACGAGTGAAAGAAGAGGAGGAAAATACAAGAAGCTGAAAAGGATTCTGTTAAAGGCTCAAGATTTTCTTCTTCAAGAGAGAAGAGGAAAAAATAGGAGTCGCGGTGAAACGGAAGGAATGAGAAAAGAGGATCGTGGATCTCAAAGTGAGGTGTGTGAGTGGGAATAGAAAAAAAAAAGATTACCAGTGGCGTGGAACGGATTATTGAGAGTCGCGAAACGTGGAAGGAAAAGGGGCGACAGAGGCGCGAGTTACGCACCTGTCGGTGGGGTGCCGCTCACCAAGAGAGAAGAAGGAAGCGGCGGTGTGGGGGGGAGAGAAGATTTTACTTGAATGTTGTGTCGAAGGGGAGGGGAGGGTTAACTCTGTGAGTTTTTGGCGTGCGTGCCTGCGTGCAAGCGCGAGCCTCGTCGAGAGGCGATGCTCGACGAGGACCAGATCGGAGCCCTCTAGTTCCTTCTACTTCTTCTTCTTATTCTTGTTGTTGTTCGGCGACGTTGGTTGTCGTCTTGTTGGTGCAGTGAAGTCTTCGTCGTCGACGCCGTTGCCGCCGCCGCGTGACACGAATGCGGGAGTGCAAGAGAGAGGGAGCTTTGGCCGCTGTACTCGAAAAGAAGATCGAGCGAGCAGGCTATTTCTGCGCCCGTATAAAATAAGCAGTGAATGAAGGAAGACGACTATTCATTGGAGGACAAAAACAGGATTTGTGTCTAGTGCGCGGTTCATTTTTTGAAGCAGAAAAAAAGTTGTTTTTTAGCAGTGGATCTTTGAATTATTTTTGGAAAAGAAAATTGTGTGCAACGAAAAAATTAACGCGGGTGGTGGAGTAGTGTGAAGGACGTTTATTCGGTGTAGTAGGTGCATTAAAAGTGTGGAAGTGTGGATACCTTGGACTGTCCCCCGCCCCCGGCGCTGCCTCCGCGGCGCCCACCTTGGCCCCCTAACAATCTGAGTCCCTCAACGCTGAGGATCCTCGGATCTTCAACATCATCATCATCGGTGCATCAGGTTCAGCAGCATTTGCAGGTGCACGAGCTGCCGTCCCCACCTCCACCGCCGCCGCTGACACCGCCCAACTATCCTGCGCCCCCACGGCCTCCAAGTCGCAACGGTGAGTTTTTCTCTTTATTTTGTTCTCTAGTTTGCATATGTTCTATCCTCTGGTTCTCTAATGTTGGCCAAGCCTTAAGTCATTTGAGAGCAGGAAGATTTTGTCCTCTAATGTTAGCCTAACAGTTAGCCTAAGTTTAGGCCAACATTAGAAGACAAAGCTAAGGCTTAAAAGAGTCATTTAAGAAGAAGATTTGGTTCTTTAATGTTAGCCTAACAGTTACCCTAAATTTAGGCAAACATTAAAGGACAAAATTCTAAGACTTCCGAAGTCAATTAAGGAGAAGATTTTGTCCTTTAATGTTGACCTAACAGTTAGCCTAACTTTAGGCCAACATTAGAGGACAAACCTAAGGCTTAAAAGTAATTTATAAAGAAGATGTTGCCTTCTACTGTTGGACCAACTTTCGGCCAACATTAGAGAACAAAATTCAAAGGCTTCTAAAAAGTTCATTTAAGAAGAAGATTGTGTCCCCCATAAAGAAAATCGGAATTCGAATCAAATCGCAAAAAGCAAAAAGTTACAAATCGTAATCGCAATCAGAATAACTTATCACGCTCATCGGAAATATACTTATCATTCAGGCATTGAGAATTCTCAACGCAACTGACTGAGAAACATATAAAAGTATGGCTCGAAAGATATTACTAATTGCAAGCACGCGCAGGCACTTTGAGAATCACAATTATCTTGATATCATATATGCAGCAAACATGAACTTGAAAGGAATGTAAGATGGCATCATTTACTTTGTCTATATATATTATTGTCGAGGACTTGAAATCATCTTCACAATTCCTTTACAGAGTCGAAAAAATTATAACCATTCTTTACTAAATGCAAAAAGTTTTTCTCTAACTTCTAAAACTCTTCATCCATTTGCGATTTTTTGTTTTTGATATCTTGGTTAAAGATGTTAACTGACGATTTTTGTATTTTTAATAAAATTATAGTTTTTTAAGGATTTCGAATTGGGACAAAACGTATCATTGTTGCACCAATGACACGTTTTGTCCCAATTTGATATTCTTAGGAAAGTTGTGATCATCATCAAAATTAACAGTACCGAAGTGTACGAAATTACACATTAGAATTCGGTTTTTTTGGGTCAAAACCGTTTTTAGTTGACAGTTTTCTTGAAAGTATCTAATTGATACTGAAGCGGATCAAGTTTGATACTAAAAATTTGGATCAATTTTTGATTTGATACACATTTTTGGTATTAATTCGTTACAATTTGATACTATTAAAGTTAACAGTGTTAATAAGTGAAGGTTTGATACACAAAAATTGGTTCCTACTTGTTCTAAATGCCAAAAACTTTTACAGTATGCGACGGCACAAAAAAAATTCTAAAATCGTTTACATCTTGAAACCGAAATTATTTAAAAGTAGCTTATTTTTAAATTTTAAACTATAGGTCAACTATTATAGTTATAACTTATAACAATAGGCTGAGTCATAACTTTAGAACTGAAAATAAGACACAATTTAAAAATATTTTTTTTTCCATCTGTATTTGGGTGAAGAGATTTAAAGTCTAAATTCAAAATACATAAAAAGAAGTTCATTACTGTTTAAAAATTAAAAGTAAATAAAGTAGATACTTATTTAAAAGTAAATGTCAACATCTTAATGTGAATGCAATACTCAGTTCTAAAGCCAAAAATAATACTTTAGTTTCATTGAAAAAAAAAGTGAATGAAATAATCTTTTCTAAAGAACATAGTAATGAACATACGGGAAGACTGTGTGGTATGAATAACTAATTTTGCTGGTTGGCAAACCTCTATATGTGCTGCCAAGATAATTGTGTACTTGTGCCAAGGTTCTATCGAAAGTATTAAAATTTTGAATATTTAATATATATTTAAATATTTTAAAAGATATTTTCCTACTTGGAAAATCTTAAGATTATTGGGTCTTCTTATTGACATGAATATGGGCCTTAATCTTATTCTCCCCTCCTAAAAATGACATTTTTTTATCGTATATTCACTGTGAAAACAAATAAGATACAAGATACTTGAAATATTTTCAAAAATAGTATTTTGAGGGCATTAATGATATTTATTGAAAATTATATTTTATCTCCAAAAACGGATGTCAAATGTTTTAATAATTACATGTTCATTTGGATAATCAACAATTATGCTAGTTACTTATTAATGACGAATTCTTCCGTAATCCGGACTTTACGAGACTTATCGTTAATGATCTTTAAATTTTTCATTGTTTCGTGTTCTATTTTTTATTACTCGAAAAAAACTGGATATTTAAAATAAAGATTTGCCGTGTTTGCACAAAATACGTGAATCATATAATAATTTAATTGATCAAAATTTTTGATTCAATTTGGTATTAACTTGAACTATTTTGCTAACAATTTGATACCTTATGTCCCTAACGTTAGCGTCGACGGTAAGCGCCGAAAACTGTTGTTTGGGGTTTTTTAGGGATAAAAATGTCACTAATTTTATTTCTTTTATTTCAAATGACAGTTGTCGACGCTAATTTTAGGGACATTATTAAATTAGTTTGTTTTGTACTTATTTAATCTTTTATAGTTGTCTTTATAAACTGTATCATGTTTTACTGAATTTTTAGTGAACAAATTACTAAGAATTAGTAAATTTAAAAATTTAGGCTTAGTTTTAAATTTTACTACTTTTGAATTAGTGGGTGACTGTTCTAGTTTAGATTCAGAGAAAAGTTATTGTTAATATCTGGATTTAATTTCTTTTTCTAATTTTAAATATCCAGTTTCCTCCGTGTGTGCAATCAGAGAGTAAACTCTGAGTTATTAAAATAAACCACAAAGTTCTTATTTTAGCCCATTTTAATCCATTTTTGGTTTCTTCGAATTCGAATCAATAAAATTTGCTCTGCGTACAAATATCAGTTATTGGAGATAAAATATACTTCTACTATTTATACTTTTTAAATTTAAATTTGAATTAGTGAAACGTCCACTTATTAAAATTAGAAAAAACTTCCAGTAATTCATGTCACTGAAGTTAGCGTCGACGCTAAGCTTTATCTTGTTCTTCTAGAATAAAAAACTATTCACTTTTTCTCTTAGTTTTTAATTTTTTTTCCCTTCAGTCAAGAAAAATACTTGACTTCTACTTCTGGAATAAAGAATTATAGACTCGTTCGTTTAGAATAAAGAATCATACACCTGTTCTTCTCGAATAAGCGAATAGCGTATTAATTATTCAATAAATTATTATTGAAGCAAACCGCGAGCACACATTGAGCCTTTTGATGTAAGACCAGTAGGTTTTCTCACACCGGCAGTTCATACACCTCTAAACTAGAAAGTAAAGTCTGGCTGGTTACTTATCACCTCAGATTTACAATCGGTTTACAACAGTATCATAATCGACCTTTCACGCAACTATATAATGTCGAAATGTATGTATATATACAACAAATCTCTATACACATTCTTATTAAGAAGGGAATTAAAAGTTTTTATCATTTTTATCCTCTGTAGCAATATACATTTATAGAAAAGTACATTTTGTACTAAAATGCTAATTTTATTTTATCAATTTTTGGAAAAAATAGCACCGATACCGAGGTGGAATTTTGTGAATGTTTCTTTCTTTCTTTTTTTAATGGTTTCCTAAGTGACGACGATAAGTACTCCATAAATCTTGTTTGTCAAAGATGTGGGTGTAAATATACGAATTGAGTATCGTTTCGTGACTTGTCGTGAGTGAGGAAGAGGGGAACGGGGGGAGAGAGAGACTTGTGTGTGACAATGTCGATGAGAGATGGTAGGCAGTGAATGAAAACGTCAAAAGAGATATAGAAAGTTTGTCGAGAAAGTTTTCCACTCGTTTTGGTTTGTGACTCTAATAAGTATAATACGTATTGGGTTGTGCCTCTCTTTTTCTCTCTCTCAATTCTATGAGTGTAAATCGGGCATGATGGTGTGCCATCATGCGCGATTTACACTCATAGGATTGAGAGAGAGAAAAAGAATTATGTGTAGATGTGCAAATGTGCGTATTTAAGGCTATATGTGCTTGTATATGTAAATATGTGCGTATTTGAGTCTACATGTGCGTATACATGTATATGCGCGTATATATTTGTACATGCGCGCGTATAGGTGCACATGTGCGTGCATATAAGTCTATATGTGCATGCATAAGTGAATATGTGCGTATATGTGCATATGCGCCTGTATATTTGTATATGCGCGCGTATAGGTGCACATGTGCGTGCATATAAGTCTATATGTGCGTATATGTGCATATGCGCTTGTATATTTGTATATGCGCGCGTATAGGTGCACATGTGCGTGCATATAAGTCTATATGTGCGTATATGTGCATATGCGCTTGTATATTTGTATATGCGCGCATAAATGTGCATATGCGCCTACACATGTGCATAAGCGCGCATATACGCGTATATGTGCGCATATATAACCGCGAGTGGGTACATGCGTGCTTATATGTGGGGGCACCGATTCTTTCTTGAGAAATTCAACGTGCCACGCATCGACCTACACAGAAACACGAACACACGTACTCCTCTCGATGCCAAGTCGCATGAATGAAACCACGATTTCCACGCTGCCCATATAGGTATGCACGCGCTTCTATGGACCGCTCCTCCTTGGTCGCGAAAGAAATCTTGGGGGCCGGTTTACGAGACGCAAAAGTGTACACGCGAGACGCAGGGCCGAAGCTCCTTTTTATATATATATATGTATACATATATATATATATACATGCAGGTGGAAAGAATCGCTTTGGCATATTCGTGCTCGGCAACTTCGTCTTCTTTTGCGTGGGCGAATCGAGGTTTCTTTTAGCCTCAAGCACATCGTCTCTTGGAACTTGCAAATTGTCCAAACCCAAAGTGGGAATTTATTCTTCGTATTGAACATTTTCAGTGGTTTATCTTGTTTTCTACTCGCAGTCGACTTGGAATTTTCTCAAGTATTCTTTATAGGATGGGGATTATTTTTCACGCTAGTT